ATTATCTTTAATAATATGTATTAATCATTCGGTTTGTCTTATCTATTAGTGAGAAAAATGCTTGGAAAAGAAATTTTATAAAACAACCAGTGTCTAGCAAAATTTTGAACAAAATATTATTTGGCAAAATGCCAATTTTCGAAGTTTAAAATACCGAAAACGAAATAAATCCCCACTCTACTTTTCATAAAAGTTAACTAATATTATTATTGTGTTTTTAAAATTTCATGTGATTTTTTCTTGAATTGCCTGCATTTCTTGAGAGACTTCTTGAAATATAGGGTAAAAATGGCCATTTTCAAAACGTAAGAATTTGGTCATCTTGGAGCCATCAACTGAAGAATTTGCAGTGACTTGTAGAAATTTTTTTTATTGTGTTATATAGTGCTTCATTCGTTCAATTCATATAATGTATGAATTATCTCAAAATAATAAAGATAAATAAACCACATGAAATCAAGTATACAGCACTTTTATGCTTGAAATGAGAGTAAATGGGGCAAAAATCTATTTTAGCCCGTTACCATGGCAACCAAGGGAGTAACCTTAATTTTTAATGTTGATTATGTCATAATGTATGGGCATTAATCACCTGAAAAAGTTTCATAAAAATCGCTCATTGTGTGTGCCACAGCCCTACAGGAAAATTTTGGTCCTTGCAGAGAATTGATGTTTAATCTTAAAATATTAAACTTAATATATTAAACTTAATATATTAAAAGATATTAAATATGAAAGCCAGATAGGTTCATTTTCGACAAGATAAAAAAAATTGACTCGTTATAACGAGATAGTTAGATGTATCTCTTTATAACGAGTTTGTATCTCGTTATAATGAGATAATTATCTCATTATAACGAGTTAGTTATCTCATTATAACGAGTTATGTCTACACAATAATTCATATTTGTTTTAGGTGCAGAACTTTCAATCCAGCAAGATAGGGAAAGGAGGTTGCTCTGAGTATCAACAATTTATTAGTGATGTCTATCCTTTTCTATCGTAGTTCTAGGTAGTGAAGGCATATGATTAATGAGTCTACAAGAGACATTAGAAATCGAATTTTACATGTTTTATATTCGTGGTACTTGTAGTCAAGTACCTGGAAAGGTCTAGTTTATGTTGTGTAGGCTCCACAGTTATAAAGAATATTTAGTTGGAAAAGCAAGGATTTGAATAGAGTTAGGACCTGAAGAAAACAGATTTCAAATATGGTGACAAGCTATTATAGTATTCATTTAATCCTAAATAAGAAAGATTTTTATTTGACATATGAAGTATTGAAAATTTCAAGATTTCGTTTAGATTCACTGTGGGGATAAAAAAAAATTGGATGCTGTAACCCCTTGTGTAATATTCATGTTAACCTTATAAGCGAGACTTTATTCTTTAAATACCTGTTTTATTACGAAACACAATAACATAATTTATTTGATTGCAAATAATTCCCAATGATAATCCTTCACTATCAGTAACATATGTTTTCCCCCAGAACAATGTTACTTTAAATCAGCTTGAATAAATTTGTACTTGTGCTGCTGTTGATATGAGAGGGGTATACTAGAACCAGCCATTTTTGAGAGCAATATTTTTCTCCAGATGTAATGCATCTTTTACCTTAGTTATTCGTTATACCTATAACATATTTGCTATTAAAAAAAAAACCCAAGGATAATCTAATATAAAATCTGTTCCTAATTCTGCATAAAAATTGCATATTAAAACATCAATAAACAAAAAGTATATTTTCTATTTAATATCTTGAAGTCATTCAAAAAGGGAAAGGGGGCTGGAGTAATTTTGTAAGTGTTTATGACAGTTTTCCCAGTAAATAGGATAGACTTAGGGCTGTTGGTCGTGGGTCAGTTAAATACGGCTCCCCATTTTATGGGTTGACCAGACCTGTTGTTTCCAAAGGTTTCGGCCATCTGGCGATTGCCCAGAGCCATTCAACTGATGCTTAATTCATTGTGCTGTTGCTGCTTAAAACAAACTCATTTACTGTGGAAATGCCTGCTGCTCTCAACAAATTCATGAATTGGTCCGCTTGCTTGAAACAAACTCAGTTACTGTGCAAAATGTGTACTGCTTACAACAAATTTATGCAATGCTTTACTTACTGAAATATTTTAGTTATGTTCTCGGTTAACCCGTATGTAAAGTTTATGTAAAATACATAAAATATAATTGCAAGGTTAATTACCGTTCGCGGTATACCCGGAACGGCCATTATGTTGTTTATTGATAGTATATGTATATTTTGTTTGATGTGGTGGACAATATTTGAGCCACACCCAACATTAAGGACCTGATCATATGTCATAAATGAATGATCAATAATTAGGCGGCTAGCCATGTTTCAACAGATTTCTCTTTCCTTATTTCTGGTTTCTATCCCCACAATATGAATTGTTTTCCTATATATAAATAATAGAATCTATTAATTTAAGGAATAGATGCAATTATTTTATGAGGAAAACATTGTTGCTGCTATTTGAGCTAGAAAATAATTAAGATCGGGATTGGAATATCTCAAATCCCCCTCTTTGCCCTGGTTCCAAAAACCATGGACCTCACAATATATGTCTCACGAGTGAAATAAATTCCATATCCAACTACAAAACATTAAATTTTCTGTTTATTTATATAGAGGAAAATAAAGCAAACATGATTCCACGTTTATTTTATTATTGGCGATTGTTGGTCGTGGCATATTAAAAAGCAGCAAGGAGTCGCCAAGCCCAGTTTACACCAAGCAGCAGCATAATAAGCACAATAATGGCCGTTCCGGGTATACCGCGAAGGTAATTAATCTTGCAATGTTATTTTATGTGTTTTAAACTTAACATTTATGTAGAGTTATCGTTCCGGGTTAACCGCGAAGGCAACTTAAAATATTTTAGCAAGCAAATTATTGCATGAATTTGTTGTAAGCAGTACACATTTTGCAGAGTAAGGTTTGTTTTAAGTAAGCAAAGCAGACCAGTTCATGAATTTGCTGAAAGCAGCACACATTTTCACAGTAAATAAGTTTGTTTTAAGCAGCAGCAGCACAATGAATTATAGCATCAGCTGAATGGCTAGGCACAAACTGAAACATGAAATGACACAACGGAAAAAACCATTTCATTGGAATGCCATGCTGGAATTTTTCGAGCGATGTTGAACACACAATTAAAAATCACATCTTAGTAAGGCCAATGGAATGCCACGACGAACATCTTTAAGTAAAGTGAATCCTCAAATCAAAACCTGAAATGATAGAGAAAGCCCAACAGTAGACAAAACTTCTTAAATTTATTTAAATCATGATGCTAAATTCCATTAATACTCTAAGGGGATGGGATGGGATTAGAAAAACTGTGACTGAAAGCATTTTTTCCCCCAAAATTCTGTCTGCTTCAAAATTCGTGTACCTTCAAACGAATATTCGAACACTCCATTTACACTGAATAAACGTTGAACACCAGATACCAGACTGACAGCTGGATGGACAGACAGAAACCAGGCGACCAAGTATGATCAGAAAAGCTCACCCGAGCTGAAAGCTCAAGTTTAAAAAAAACCTATAATTTTTTGTAATCAGCATCTGTGTATAGTATTTAAAATGAATTGATTCAAACACTCCATTTCGATTTAATAAAAAAAAATGGACACCGGACATGCAGGCCAATGATTGTCTTCTTCAATATCATAAACTCAATATTAGTCAATATAACAATGCAATTGAGAAAAGAAATAGTAAACACAATTATATATATATATATATATATATATATATATATATATATATATATATATATATATATATATATATATATAAATAAGCAATTATGAAGAATGGTCGTACATAAATATAAAATAAACTTCTACACTTAACGTATTTTTTCTACATTTCATATATTGTATAAAGTATGTTAAACATGTATCTCTATATCTTTCTACTTCAGTCTTTAGAACTTGAATTAATAGGGAAAAATGTAATAATAAATGCCTATAAAGTATCTTTTTGTACTTATATTCAGTAAGTGATCTGATATGAAAAATGTAGGAACGGCGTGCTAATACGGGTAAATCTATGGAAAACAATCAGGTGAAAATGATTGGCAGCTACTTGTCAAATTTATCCCCAAAGAATAGTGCCATTTCCCATAATTGTTTTGCATATTGTCTGATTTCTTCATCAGAAGACCTGATATCAGGTAGAAATGGTATTATAACTACCTCTGTTCTTTCTGAAATTTTGAAACACTGACAAGATTTCACTTGATATTCCTTGACTCTAGAAACCTCCACACGCAACGTGCGCCAAATTCTTTCTTGAATGTTTAAGGTTTTATTCGAATAAATTTCTGTTTCTTTCTCCCGAATAAATGTAATATTACTGTTGTTAACAATAAATTCATTTGATTTTTTCTTAATGAGTGCTCCACTTCTACTATGATTTAGAAGGTCATCGTATCCTCCAACAGTTTGCAAAGCGTGTCTGTTCAAACTTCTGTAAGACTGAAGTTTGCACCTAATGTCAATGGAGTTTTCATTATAATTTTTTTGTGTTGATTTTCGGATTATTTGACTAATAAACCATTTTATCTGGGGAACCTCAAGTTGTAAGAAATGCAGATGGTCATCTAGGTCGCACATACCCCACTTTCCAATTCTAACTTTTACGTTCCTTTGAATATTTTCTTTGTTAAAATTAGCATTTAGAAACTTCTTAAAGTTGTTTGAATCACCCTGCATTGGTAAAAAAGCGAACGAATAGGGCACACAAATGTGACCACTTCCATGGCTCGCAGATTTCAGACGTTCACGTCTTTCTTCAAAATTTTGCAAAGTGCTATTTAACTCTGATAATGGCATACAATTTTTCTCTATGTCCATTATATAAAATGCACCAAATGCTAGAACAATGCACAAGTCGCCATGGAACATAGCACTATATTCGTTTCTGATTTTCTCCCATTGTGTAAGAAATGAATTTGGAAAGGAATTCTCACCACATTCATCACTACAGTTTCTAAGACGGGGATAATACCGATTCCTGCTGGTATGATTGTGTTGGCATAAACCTCTGTGGGGTTGAAATATTACTTCTTCATTTTCGTGTCTACTCCCTTCAAACAAGATTGAAAAGGTTAATGTACCATCGACAGTTGTCTGTCCGCTTGCCGTAGATGTTATCTTTTTAGATTTAACCGAAAAGTCATAAAGAGCCTTGTTGAGTCGCATAAGTTGGATATTTGTTCCAACTGCTTCAATTTTTATGCCGCTTTTCAACCCAAAATCTACTAAATGAAATGAAACATCCATGCCTGTAATTTTCATTAATTTGAATTTTGCATATTCCTTAGCATATTCAACTGTACTCCAAGACTCAACGGGTAAGATACAAGAAAAATATGTCTCAGTCTCATCGTTTTCTTCACGACGAATAGAGTTCACAGCTAAATGACATGCAATTTCGTGGTATCCAACCTCGCACTTTTGAATGATTTCCTCCTTAGTATTTTTCAGCCATTGAAGTGAACTTCTTGGTAACTCTGAAGAGGCACATATACTCTGGATATAGTGTCTGACATTTTTTAAGCAATCAAATAAAATTCTCGTTCTAACAAATGGTTTGGAAATGTTTATGTTGGCGAAAGATCTCTTTAGGAGCATAATGGGTAGCATGTCTGCAATGATGTCGATGGGAATTTTGGTTGAATTATGTTCCCATAAATACTCAAAGAGAAAATGTGCTACATGCTTTAGACATGTATAATTGTCAAGAAACTCATTCAATAATTTGCTTTGTGTTAGGATCTTTTCATTCACTATGAATGTTATAAATCCATCTACACCTTCAGCCAGTTTGATCTGATAACATAACTCTCCTTCAAATGGACCACTCTTTACACTAGTTGCATAACTATTTAGACATTTTAAAGTTAAGTTACCGATTTCTGGATTTTGTGTTCTAATCCCCAAAAACTGATGACTCTCTCGACAAGTTATCACAATTCCATTTCCAGATAAATTAATCCATTCTAGATGGAGTCCCTGAGTAACATTTTGTTCAACCTTGTGACGTAAATCGTATAATCTATATAAAGACTCCGTTCGATCTCTGTCCAAAAGTTCCCAGCGCCTATCAAAGGATCGTTCAATTTCTTCAAAAACTTTCTTTAGTTCCTGATTGTTCTTCAGCAGACATAGAATATCTGCTACAACCCAGGGAAAACTTAAGAATCGTGGGTTAGACATTTTGTACGTTACGGTATACCAAGTAGAGGCCTTTCTAAATATTAGTCTTGCTGATTCAAGTGAAAAATGGCTTTTTTCTCCACCAAACTCCTTAAAGAAAATAGCCCTTGTTCTTCTAAATAATAGGGACACTTGGTCACGAACTGTCTTCCCAATCTGATACTTCTCGTCTTTTAAGTAACCTTTTCCACATTTCAGAACTTGTATCAAACCAGTAATTGCTGCAGGTTCATCTTTCAACCCATACGTATTCATAATCCTCAAAAGTTTGTCATTGTAAATATTTCTTTGTAAAATTGCATGCATACATTCTTTTTCGGTGGGTAACAATGCCAAATCTTCGTCAACAATTAAATCGGAAGTTTTCTCTCTTAAGATATTCTGCTGCAATAATTGACATTGACGGAATAGTTTTCCAAGAATTCTGGAAGAGTGATATTGGATTTCATCTCTTTTCACCATAAAATCTGGATACTGTTGGGGACGAACGTCTTTGCAGATTTGTGGTCTTTTACCCGTTTTAAGACAATCTACAACTTCAGAATACATTTCCGCTAGTTCAAGACAGCAATCTGAAAAAATGCCTTCCTGTTCACTGTCAGACCTCGCTAAATGGGCTTCTGCTATGATTCCTAGGTTATCATTCTTTATGTAATTCACTAAAAAATCAACAATATCTGTTGCTTGAACATCCGAGGTCAATTTCTTTTCTGAATTATTTTGAGAATTCACCTTGTTCTTTTTAAGTATATGAAACCGTTTATCCCAGGAAACGAAATACTCATCCCCATAAATATCTGATCCGGACATTTCATCTCGATATGGACGAGGACCACGTTGTGGAAAAACAATACAATCTTTCATATGCCTGAGGCCAGGAATATCTACAGCTTCAAATATCCGGAGATCTTCTGGATGAAAACTCGGATTTTTTGTGACCACTACTTTACCTAATACAATTTGGAGTTCTTTTCCAGAATCAGATGGATCTGTTGAATATTGAATAAATACTTGTCCATATTTTAATGATTGACTTTCATCAGAAGTACCGATCATGTAACGACCTTTATCTAAATCTATCTGAATCCTTGTTCTTTGTTTTAAATCATCGAGTCTATGGTGGTAAATTGTTAAAAGTAGAGATCTGAAGAAGGGTTCTCGAACAAAACTTATTCCCTTCTCGAATAAATTTTGAAAATTTATGTCCAAGGATATCTGTAAGTTAAAAAACAAAAGTCTGTGTTACAATCAATTTAACGAGCTTAATGTTTTAGTGTGTGTTCATACAAAGGGTGATCAAAAAGTTTTCATATACATTAAAATATAATGAATTCGTAATACTCACATTAATTTTCTTTCACTTATTTAATTTTTAATTTTAAAAATAAAAAAAAACAATAGATACTTAATTCATGTTTTTGTTTATTTTATTTTATTTTTTAATGTTATTTTTTAATTGATTTATTTGTTTGCTTTTTTTTTTTAGAGAGAATAATTATGTTTTGGATAGTTTTATTATGTAGCCACTATCGAAGGTAACTTGAAACAAGAGGCCCATAGGCCACAACGCTCACCTGAGTATCTATGGCCCTTCTGTTTTTCATCAGCAGACTCCTTTCCCTATATATTTTTATGTAAAACTTTGATCACATATCATGGCCCACCCTACTCCAGGGGGTCATGGATTGAAAAAAAAAATCAATCTAAACTACATGAGGATGCTTTCATGCTGACGAAACAAGGATATCAACAGTCTCGTTTGAAGTAATCATTTCGCAAGTTTCTTGGTCGATACAATGACCTTGTCAGCACATAGTTGTTAGGCCATTATTTATACACTGAACTCTCTACAGATTTTTCCGTTTTTTCTGATCATGATAAGGAGCACATGGCGGATGTGACCGGTCGGCAGGAGTTGCTCACTCATCCATGGCACCTGATCCCACCTTTAAATTTTGAGGTCCGTGTTTGCTCTGCTCCAGATTTGTATTGTTTCATTGGACTTTCGAGATTGAATACTGTTCGTTATCTTCATATTTCATTCCATATGAATATGACTAATTATGGATTTGCCGTTCTTGAGAAGAACTCTTATTAAAAAGAAAATCCTCTGTATTCCTATGTAAAACTTTAATTGCCCAATGTGACCCCGGCCTACTCCCAGGGGTCATGCTTTGAACGTACACGACCTGCAGATGCTTCATATAAATATGACTAAAAGATTTTTTCACACTTCTCCTGTATATTTTTTGTATATTCCTATGTATAACTTTAATTCCCTGTTGTGTCCCCACCCTGCTCCCGGGTCATGATTTGAACAAATTTAAATCTACACTAGTACTACCTAAGGTTGCTTCTGTATAAATATGAGTAATTATGGCTTTGCTGTTCTTGAGAAGTTTTTTAAAGATATTTTCTATAAATTCCTGTGTGAAACTTTGATCCCCTGTTATGGCCTCACCCTTCCCCTCGGGTCATGATTTGAACAAATTTGAATCTTCACTACCTGAGGATTATTCTGTATTAATATCACAAATTATGGCTTAGCTGTTCTTGAGAAGATTCTTAAATATATATATAGAACGGCAAATAGATATTTCCTGTATATTCCTATGTAAAACTTTGACCCACTGTTGTGGCCCCTCCCTACCCCAGGGTCATGATATGAACAAACTTAAATCTACAGTATGTAATGAAGCTTGCACATTAACATAATCTTTTCTGGCCCAGTGGTTCTTGAGAAGAAGATTTTAAAAAGATGCCACCAAATTTTCACGAATTCTAAATTATCTCTCCTTGAGAGAAGGCGTGGCACTTCCTGTGAACAAAGCTAAACCCCCCTCACTCAAGAATGCTTTGTGTAAAGTTTAGTTGAAATTGGCCCAGTGGTTCCGGAGTAGAAGTCCAAAATGTGAAAAGTTTACAGACAACAGACGACAGACAGACAGTCAGCTAGACAGACAATTGAGCCTTCTGGCAGACCAGTTCAGACTTGAACAAAACGTTTTTCACCTCCTTTAAATTTTTCAGAGCTTTATCGTCGTAAAGAAGCATGTCGGCCAATTCAAACAACATCGACTCTTGGAGATCCTGGAATGTTTCGTCTGGAATTCCAAGTCCAGAAAGTAATGTTATTATTTTTCGGTTCAAATAAAGTCGTTCTGTGAAATGAATAATTTGCTTAAACAAGTTATACGAGTTTGATTGCAGTGTACAATAATTAGCCAATAATTTTCGCATAAGCACACGCATGAATGTTAATTTGAATACAGTTACATAAGTACAACAAATAACACAGCATCTCATAATGTATTACACATAGGTTCAGGAATTTCAGGAATATACTTAGGATTATTTAAAGGATTTTTACGTGTGAAATGTCATTGAACAAAACAGAGGCCTAAAATATAATACGTTTGATAGTTTTGTTGTTTTGGAACACAGCTTTGTAAAGAAAAAAGTAAATACCTGGGTGTGAAAAATCTAAAATCTCCAGACTTGTAGAACTTGATTGAATTTTTTTCAGGCTCTCTCTGAAAAGAACATCTCCCCGCTCAAGTAATGGATCTTGTGTCACTACACCTTTACAACCACCATAGTGTATTTGGAAAGCAGACGGTACAGATTTCAAATTCATGTCTTTTGCTATCTAAATTACAATTTGAAAAATGATATACATTTCTAAGGTTATCTTAAATTTGGCGTCACAGCTTTATTTTGTAATGATTAATAAAATTCAATTTTACCTTGGCAGCTAGTTTGGGCGAAATCTTCCCAATGCCATCAACCAGACAAATTCCACTTCTCTTAACGTCTCTTTCATAGAGAACCTCCTCTTTGCCTATCCTAACATCTAACGTGTGGTAATATGCAGAAAAGCAGAGTCCAAACTGCGACACGTTAGATGCAAAAAACCTCTGTTCAGACAAGTCGCCATGTTTTTGTCTTATAGAGGCTGCTTTGATCCCATCATGAGAGCTAAAGAACCAAAAACTATGCTTACGAAGTTCACAGTTTGAACATCCTAACAATTCGTAATGGCGATCATGAATTGTTAAACCTTCTTCGAAAAATCGTTTCAAGTCTTCCAAAATGTATTCTAGTCCATATGGCTGCACTGCACTGAGCTTTTTGTAATCCTCATCGCGATAAACAAGCCTTAAGAAGTAATCTTCATTGTACTGGCGTACAATTCCATTTTGAAGTATTGGCTCTTTTGGGAGGAAAACGCACTTCGTAGGTGTTAGCAATACTCGCCTAACCATTGTATAATTCATAGGAACGTCGTCCTTATTAGAATGTTCTGACATTTCAATCGCTTTCGAAAATTCATCCATGAAATTGATGAATGGTTTTTCTGCAATATTTTCTACCATATTGTAAAACACCTGTGAACTGACTCCCATTCCGATTATTTTCTCAAAGACTGATTGAGTAAGGTGGTCAACAACTTTAAAACCCTGTGAACACAGTGATTTCCAAGCATATGCTATATCAAACCCTTCAAAATCTAGTTTAACCTCTTTATCGGAATTGCCAACCTTCACATGAGCATAAACAATGGAAAGATCCACATACTGTATAAACCAAATGATTCTAGAAACCATTGCACTTTTGTTCTTAAACCTTATGCAAAAACAGTCTAACTGTCCAAACTTCTCATATCCAGATTTACTGGCAGGTATTCGTTTTGATGCATCATAGGGATGAATACCTGTATTTTGAAATAACTTTGGAGTTGACTTCACATTGATAAAGAAAATTGCTTCACTGTTTTGTAAATCAACTATAATATAGTCGTGCAGAAAGTTATACCACATATTTATTTCCATCCTAATTTCAGAGTTTGTAATGATCAACAAAGCTTTATCCTGTTGAAATTCAACGGAAGCCACTGTTTCCCAATGCCTCACGAAATTAACCGGAGAGATCATGCTTCCTCCAAGAATTTCAACCCTTTCTGAAATTTCTTTAGACCCTTGAGGAGACATGTAAGTCCGTCGTTTACTTGGCAGAACCTGCAACCACGACATATTTTCTGTCGATCTTTGATTTGTTTCCCATAATTTTAGGACTTCTGGTAGTAGTGCATTATCTAGTGGCGATTCAAGGATCACATTATAAGATATCTTATGGTCACCATAAGTACGAATATCATCTGAAGAAATATAAACAAAAGACTGATATAATGCAAATAATTTCTCCTTAAGATAGATGTATGTATAAAACAATATTTTATGGAGTTGTTATATTTAAGGTGGCATAAAACATAACATGCTAAACATCGTAATTTTTATTTCCTGCACATATAAATACACTATATACTCCTGTGCGTTTCTTCCTAAGAATGCAATTTTAGATAATCAGTACTAATCCAAAATTTGGAACTGTAAAGCATAACATAACAATGTTGGTGTACGTGTATAAAAAGCATGAAGAAACCAGCTGCCTTGCAAGTGAGCTGAACATTTCTAGTTATATCAAAATGCATGTTAATTTAACTTTGAGCATCTGTACTTGATATGATAATAATATTGAGAGAATCTAACAAACTGACTAATTCGGGATTTTCACCTGATCCAAGATATTTTTCCCATTAGCTAATCAAGCAAAATATACATATAGCTCCAAAAAGACTTACCTCTCTCTAATCTTTTTGCATCAATGAACTTTATTGTTCCTGGTAATTTTCTGATAAATTCGCGTACTGATTCCTCTCTCTTAAGATAAAATAAATTCAACTAAAAATGTTCTTTCCGGACATCTGAAATTTCTCTACCTTCTGCTGATTCCGCCATACTCAAAAAGTTTCCGCTTATGATAACTGTGTCAAAATTTTGTGGAAAAACGCAGGGCTTTTTTTTTTAATTGATTATTGGGAATTTAAAAAGAAACTGCACTGAAGGCTAACTTCTGTATAAAGATTATAGCGTTCAATTGAATGAATACACAGAATCCATAGTAGGAGACAGACAATGAGATTTAGCATTTTAAATATTTTATCATTTGATCTTAGGTTAAAACAGACATCTATTTTCATTGAAAATCCACTAGGTTCACATTTCGCGCAATAGACTTTTAAAGTCCAGAAGCTTCCATAAGATAGCTTTGGTTAATCCCGTCTGAAGTATATGACTTCTGTGCGAGGTTTTCTTAAACTGTTTCAATTGTTTCATATGAAATATTACTTCGCATTTTTTAAATATAAAGACGATAATTACTCAAAAATAAAACACTTGGAAATATAAATGACATAATAATCAGGCAGTAAGGACTACATTGCTTACTGATCTTGATTGAGAAATGATTCCCCAGCTCTCTAGGTCCCTCGTCCGCCCATCTGTTATCTTAATTTCTTTCATTTTTTCTTTTTTTTTTTTTTTTTTCTTTTTTTTTTCTTTTTTTTTTTTTTTTACATTTTTGACGTCTTCTCAAAAACTATGTGCAGTTTTTACCAAACTTGGCAAAGAGTATCCTTGGGTAAATGGAAATTTGAAATTGATTTGTCAGTAAAGGATCATAACATTTAATTAGAGTGGTGCATTGAATAATCGTTGTCTCAAGAACTGCAGAGTCATAATTAGTCACACTATTATAGAAACATTCATTTCTCAGGTAGTGCAAATTAAAACTTGTTCAAATCAGTGCCCTAGAGGTAGTGTGGGGGCTCAATGAGGGATCAGAATTTGGAAAATACATAAACCTGTTTTATATTTCTATGAATTTGGACAGTTGAAATTGCTTCATAAATATTGTAGATGACATTGTCTTTTCACTGACATGTTTTTTCCCCCTAAGATATCCTGTAGATAGAATTTATTCCTCTAGATTAGGCTCTCTCACGGAATTTCACCCACAGTCTGTACTCTCTTCTTCTAAAAATATATGAACTACAGACCATGGTTGAATATTGCTAAATTACTCAGAAGTTACTCAGAATTTTCAGAGAACACTGAGTTTGTGTGTATGAATGATGACGTTGTTGTTAAGATGACTTCTCATAATTATTATATTTAAAAATTCATGAAATTTTCACACAGTGAAGAAGACAGTATAATAAAGTGTTGGTATCATTTCAGTTAAAATTGACCGTCCTATTTTAGTAGCAAAGCCAGGTCAAATTCTTCTCGTTTTTTCTTGACATTAAGAACCTAAAATTACTTTTGCCAACAATGTTACATACTTTTAAAAAAGAAAGAAAGAAACGCATAATAGGATTTTGTTAATTTTGTTATACATTTCTTTTAGATGAATATAATTCATTCGAGTAAAATTCATTACTTTTAACGCTCTTGCCATTCTACAATTCAAAACCCACAGACACAAAGACGTGATTTTGCAAAATGCTAATATTTTGTCCTTTTAACACTTTTGTTTTGCTGGATATGATCCACATCATTCTATCAAAAGCTGGGGTTCTCGATTTTTTCATTCTGGTATTTTTGAAAAGTGACGCTAATTAAAAGTGCTGACTCCGAAGGATGCGTATAACAAAAAAGAAATTGGGGAACTGGAAGAAGGTCTACAGTTGCAAAGCACCACATCTCACCTAAAAACAAATACCAACAACATAGTACAACAAATGATCGCCATAAATATGGCCGACACATCAGCAGCACAGGATCGCTTCATTGTTTTGCGTAATCTTCATAAACGTTCTTCGATGACGTCGTCTACAGCGTTGACTATACCTGAACTGTACAGAATATCAAACATGACTATTAGCAATTGACTACGGGATGCTGGATTTAGAGGCAGAGGACTTATTCATGTCATTGTTCTGAACCCACAACACCGCAAATAACGACTTCAAATGTCCCAGACCAACAAAGTATGGCCACAGCAACACCGTGGAATAGTTTGGTTTACCCACGAGTCCAATTTCTTTTATTAGAATGCCTGATCGGAAAGTCAGGGTGCATAAGCTTCGTGATGAACGTTTTGTAGAAAACTGCCCCCGGAAGGTTGATGCATTTGTGATGGTATCGTAATGATGTGGGCAACGGTATTGTATACAGCCAGGGCAGATTTGGTTCATATTCAAAGGGCTTTGATGGTACAACGATACTCTGTCGATGTCTTTAAAATACCTGTACACATATATCTCTCCAATAATGCAGCATCATGGAGCGGTATTTCAATCTGACAATACACAGCCACATACGGCTCGTTTGTCAAGCGCATTCTTGCAAAGCCACAGCATTCTGTTCTTCTTGGCCATCTAAATGGTCAGATTTAAACCCTATTGAGCATGCATGGGACAAAATGGACAGGCATAAACACCAAAGACAACTGCATCCCAAGACTGCAACAACTGACACAAGTTCTACATTTAGAGTGCGATAGCATTCCTATGCACTTTTTATAACACTCATCTGTGGGGCTTGGGGATATCGTTTAAGGCGATCGCTGATGTATGTAGGGGCATACCAATGACCTTGAACTGTATGTGATTGTAAAATTATTGGGTAATTATGACATTTAGATTGTAGACCTATTGATATTGCCATTAGTAACAGGGGAAATTAAACCAAATAAGTGTAGCGAAGTTTCAATACCGACTTACAGAACTGATGACATCGCTTGCTAAAAAAATTTGAAACGTCAATAGACGTTAAAATCAAGTTAATGAACATAACAACTGAGGATTCGTTGGCTGTATTGACAGGAGAGTTTGTTGAAATTCAGAAAACGCTGCAAAATCATGATGACAAAATCTTGAAGCGAGCCCCCCTGATTCCGAAAGGATAAACGAACTAGAGGGGAGAATGAAAAAGCCAGAAGAACCGTTGCTCTATCAGCACCTTATCTACAGATACCAGAACCAACGTGATGACTTTAACTTTTCAATCGTCAACTTCCCTTACTTATGCAGCAATATACCCTTCTCACCTGCATACGTGGTTCATATTTCAGTTGATTCGATTCGCCAGAGCATGCTCTACGTATGAACAATTTCTAAAACGAGGTAAGTTATTGACAAACAAGTTGATGAAACAAGAATATCAGCAGTCTCGTTTAAAGTCATCATTTCGTAAGTTCTATGGTCGATACAATGAACTTGTCAACAAAAATACAATCTTTCATTAAATCAAATGCTGACTGACGTTTTTGATACTAATTGTTAGGCCATTATTTATACACTGAATAGTCGACGGATTTTTCCGTTATTTCCCGATCATGACAAGGAGCACACGGCAGGTGTGACCGGTCGGCAGGGGATGCTCGAATACTGTTCGTTATCTCCACATATTTCATCCATAATGGTCAAGGCTGGTTGATTTTTCTTTCATGGAATTGACTGAATTGATTGAAACACATTGTCATAAAAATATTGGCATGAAATTATTTTAATTTTTATTCGCAGTTACTAAATACTGCTTCCTTCATACAACCTAGGAACTGATCTCAGTCGGTCTACCTTTCAACACATGTCACATCTTTGCACTTCCCAGCATAATGAGTATAACTATTGTAAATGACGACCTGTTGGCTCTTTGTCCCCTGAATACAAACTGTGCAACAAAGCCATTACTACTTTTTTCCTTGCTGTATGGATGATTCTACCCGTTGAAGGAAGTACACGGTCACTACACGTGCTTTTGTTTACCTCTGTAACATACTCTTTATTGGTTTTCACCGCTTAGAGAATTCTACACGGGAGATCACTCTCAATCACTATTTGATAAGTGAAAAAACCCACGTATTAAACCTATTTTTCTCCGGAAAACCCTGATTTCCAATGTCTTTAATTGATAATACGTCGTCGATATATCTAAATGTCGAGTTGAAGGCCACAGCAAATGTCTTCTTTTTCTCATGTTTAAGTTCTTGAATAAATTCTGCTTCATTTGAATACAAAAATAGGTCTACTAATAACGGGGCGCAATTATTACCCATGGGAATGGCGACAGATTGTTGGAAGAACTGATCTCCATAGATATCTTACATCTTACATAAATAATCTTACATAGATATTGTCAATCACAAACTCAAGCATCATTTTTATATCAACTTCAGAGTATTTGTGTGTACAATCAGAATGTTTTTTAACAAAATAATGTTGCAAATGACCAATGACAAGGTAAATAAATGCACGAGTTCTTTTTTTTTTATTGAAAAAGCAGCTGTCTATGATGTCAAAAAGCCTGGACTTTAATATATTTTGGGGAATGGTTGTATAAAGTGTTTGTTTGTTTGTTGTTTAACGTCCCTCTCGAGAATTTTTCACTCATATGGAGACGCCACCACTTGCTGGTGGAGAGCTGCTAATTTTGTCCTATATTCGGCACTTACCACCATTGAGCAGTGAGGGATCTTTTTCGTTCTAGCACCTACTGCGACACGGGACCTCGGTTTATACGGTCTCATCCGAAGGACCGGTCTCCACGTCCCACAGTGGGATTCGAACCCGCGACGTAAGGATCAACTCCTTACTCCGCGACTCTAGAGCAGACGCTCTAATCACTGCGCCACGCGGGCGACTTGTGTAAAGTGTTGAAAAGTCGTTCCTTTTGATGTCATTGATTTTGGTTAAATTTTGTGATTTTAAATTTTCTAAAAGTTCCTTGGAGTTTTTAAGCATCCACATCTGATTTACACCACTTTTCGTATATATTGTTGTACAGTACTCCTGAAGTTTCTTCTTCACTGTTGATAATATTTTAGTGAGGAGTAAAGCAAGAGGCTTGGTAGAACATTTACTGGAACCCGGTATATGTATCTTTGTTTGTAGGGATTTTTCTGAAGTTTTGAAATTCAGAATAGGTATGGTAATTCAAATTCATTTTGATTGTTG